GTTATGTACAAGATACTGTATACACTCTAAATGGCCGTCTTGTGCCGCAAAGTAAATTGGAGTGGCACCATTATCGGCTTTATTGTTTACTAAACTGAAAGACGAAAAAAACAAAACATTTACAATATGTTATTTTCATAAAATAAATGCTATGGACATAATGTTGTGCATTTCACTATTGGTCGTAAAAGTTCTAACATAACCTAAAACATGTGTGGGGTTCAAACGATAGATCTAGACAACATAATAATTTAAATAATGACAATTAACACATTTGTGGGTAATTCAACCTATTAAACAGAGTAAAAATTATATCACAATATATATTATATATGCCAAGTGAGTGTATGATACAAATCATGGGTACAAAGATCATGTTTTTTGGAAAAATTTCTATAAGAATTCATGTCAAGGCATTATTTCATGAAAAATAAATACACGTAGTATCCCTTCTAATAATTCATACAATAAGAATTACTCATTTTATAATAACATTTTTTCACTATATGTCACTAAATGATATTTTCAGATACGACGAGATCTTTCCCCCATAAGAACCAATTTTAAATGGCCTAAACATCATCGTTTCCATGGTTTATTTTAGCCATTTTTTATCTAAAAAATATTTCTGTGACCATTTATGCCAGTTACTGTAAAAAAAAAAAAAATTCGCTTGGAATTCATTTTCGCTGAAGGAATGCTTCAGTAAAAATAAAATCCAGCAAATATACCTTTTTCCCTATATTTTGCATTCAACTCAGCAAAAATCAATAAAAATTAATTCCATACAAAACACCCAAAAATTCAGCGAAAAATATTTAAAATAATTCTAGCTAATTTACAGTAATAAATAAAACCAAAGAGTGACCAAATTGTGTGTTTAAATACACAGCAGACATTTGCTTTCAGAACTCACAGGAGGGCTTGACAACAATAACTCACAGGAGAGCTATGACTATTATGTCAAGATTGTTGCCAAGCAACAATAAAATAATTTTAAAGACAACTAAAAATAAATAAAAAAACTGGCATGTCTGGAGATAAACCTAGTACATGTAGAGAATTACAAAACAATGGTAGAACAAAAGTACAGACTTGATAGATAAAAAAAAATATGGAGGTACATGTAATTAATGTTATCTGATGGCGGGACTACAATAGGGTTTTGAATGTTAGCAAAAAATCTTATCTACTGCTAAACAGTTTTGGGACTATTTTTTCATGGCACAGATGTTGAACTGTTTTTTTTTTCACTATTATTCCCGCTATATATTAATAGTGAAGAAGTGGAATTTTCAACATCGTACATACTGTTTAGAAATATACAAGTGCAGTTGATGACCAGTTTTATTCCACAGTACGAGTAAGTAGAATCAAACTATCAGATGCATGCTTTTTTAATTCAAAAATGTTAATGATTCTGATTTTTTTTTACTACGAATGATCAGATTATTGATTTTTTTTTTGGATGTGTTTGAGACAATGAAAAGCCAAAGTGTTTAAATAGATGCAGGTCTCCATGCTGTGATCATGCATGCTATGGTTTTCCAATTGTGTGCATGTTTTTTTTTTTAATTGCACATAGTTAGCTGGTGTACATTGCAATTGACCATATATGTATGGTTGGATGTGATGTTTTAAAATTTGTGAAAGCAAATCTGATACATCATGAATGGTGACAATTATAAATTGCGATTTCTATAATTTGTTGTTACTCAAACATTTTGCCCACTATGTGCAAACAATGATTTCATGAAATTTCAACTTTTTTCATCACCAGACTTTCTGGCCCAAATTTTCCTGCACTTTATTTTCTTATATTCCTCAATATTTCTTGAAATGAACCATAATTTTATAGACAACTAACAAAATTTGAGTCAATTTTCAGTTTTCACTCAAACAAATTGGCCATTTTTGTCCCAGTCTTCTGAAGGAAAGTACAAACTATAAACAGGACTATTTTGCGAAAATTTGTGATAAAAAGAGAGAACCGATGGTGAAAGGTTGAAATACGTAAATAGTAATATCATACCAGTCGTTCAACAAATAGGGTCACTTTTGATTTTAATATTCCAGAAATCATATATCTATTGCGATGGAAGCCACCATCTTGCCTATCTTCCTACAAGTGCACATGTATATATCATATGTACATATCTGTATATAACAACAACCATCGCATATATGCGTTGATTCTCGCATTAGCCAGGCTACGTTAAACCTTAAGACAAACTTCAAAACACAATTTTATTTTAAGTAAGGTAAATGGACAAATTTTGCCACCAAGCTTTTTACAGGTGTCCCCTGATACATATGGGCCTTTATAATTATTATGCCATTTCAAGACTCATAGAACTGACTGTCTGGAAAATCATTCTGGTTCAGTGATATTTATTGAAGGCCACATACATTTTACTCACATTTCAAAAGAAATTATACTAGCACTATAATACACTGTTAGTATTTTATCGTGAACTACAAAATCTACATCCAGTTTTACTGTTTAGGAATAAAAAAAAATATTTAAAATGATGAACTGTAAACTACATTCCTAAGAAATAATGAATGATTCATTGCGTGCAAGTTGTAACATATGGAGGTTTACGAAAGGATCTAGCTTATACAGTACATACACAGAGAACTGGTTTTCTTTTCAAAAACATTCATTTAATAATTCACAAACTATGACTGAAATTAAAATACAATATGTTGCAAATCAGAAAAATGAATAGAGCTGCATAAAGTAATTTTGTGCATGTACATAGCCTTTTTTATGTATTTAAATTTGTTCACTAAAACTCTTGTTGAAAATGTAGCATAGAAATGAAGGGGATTTAAATTTTGGTTTTGATCATAAAAAAATTGTGATTTCAGTTTTGATCATAAAAAATTTTTAATTTTAAATTTCTAATGATCTTATCCTGGGTATACATACTTAAAGGCCGGTGGTTGTCATGCCACACATCTATGGAATATGGGACCCACACATGTCTTAAACAGAGATGGCCATTTTGACTCAACAACAAGCAGACCAACAAGTACAATCTGAGAGGTTACTAAGCATGAAATTTCCTTGGGAATTGTAAAGTATTGAAGGAGTCACCAGCAGTATTTAGTGCATGTTGCACCTAGGTCAAAACTCGAACTTGTGATTTCCTTTAGAAGAATGCATTGGATTGTGGGAAAATCAATGCTCATGAACACAAATGTCGCACACGACGACCACTGCATCACACACAACAAAAATGTTGTAACATACTTTTAACAGGACTGAGTGCGAATCACGTAATGAAGCATGATTGTATACGAGAAGATCAACACCCCTGCATTGTTACAAACATATGCAGATTACTGTTTAAAAGTGAAAGAAGGAAATGATACGCAGTTAAAAACAGAAAGCTATAACATACATGTGTATGATTCATATGACCTTGACATGTCAGATTTACTGAGGAGGAAGTAATCGTACCTCGTCATTTATACATTGACTAGCAGTGAGTCATTTTGAATAGTCACACACAGAAAAGAATTTCTTTTTTAACATCCAACCTACCTTCCCCGTAACAATAGTGCTAACAAAATTGGAACAAACAGCTCAGAGCGCACAATAATTAAAATTGACCCCCTCCCTAAATAAGAAGACTACATGTATGTTTGCTTTGCGCATGTTCTGTTTATCAGCTGCCCTGACCTTTTATCACCACTTCCCTCTTTTCATCACAAATTCACAAAATAGTTCTGTTTATGGTCTGCACATTCCTTCAAAAAATGGGGACAAAAACAGTCAAATCTTTTTGAATAAAAACTGAAAATTGACTGTCTGCTCCAAAATTGGGGGTTCATTTCCAGAAATAGTGAAAAATGTAAAAAAAAAAAAGTGCAAAATAATTTGGGTGATAAAGTCTAGCAGTGAAAGGTTGAACAGAACTAACTTTATAGAAATCCTACGCCAATATGAAATACCCAAGATAAAGTTTAATCAGCTTGTTAACTGCTGCGGAAAAATATAGTTTGTGAAGGTTATAGTTTCCGGTACCTGAAGTTGCAAACTAAAATATTAAGAACTCTGATTTCTGTTTTTTTTTTTTAATTTTGCTATTATTTAAAAAACAAGCAGCCTATCAGCTGAGATAGCTCCGCTGTTAGCAATGCACATTTCAATTAAAGAACTGAAGACATCATTAGAAAATGAACAATATGTATAGTATCAAAGCAATCAGACTTATAGTTTTTAACAAGTCGAAAATATCACTTTCTACCAAAAATGACAAAAATATTCACA